CTTCCGAAGAATCTCGGATTTCATCATGAGGCGTCATAATTCTTCCCTCAACTGGGAGGGCAGAGTTTAAGTAGTTTAAATTGTTTATTCTGAGTAGCCTTTTTTTAGTAATATTGTTTTCCACGGAATAGAATTGCCGACCCCATGCACAACCCTCCTCCTTTGGCCGGGCTTAGGACCGGCACTATCCCTAGAATAGCTACGGACGGAGTTTTCTATTGTATATACACTACTTATATCAAACTATACCAAGTTAAATGCTTGAAAGCTTGCTTTACAATCACTTTACCTCACTGTACAACTATGAAACTCTGTCTCTAAAGACAAAAGGTATACGAAAGCTACAAGAAATTGATCATGTATTGTAAAAAAATATTAACACATGGGAAGTAGTGTTCAGTGAAGAAAGTGAATTACATTTTGATGAGATCAAGTTCTCCAAGTTGGATAATTTATTTGTAAAAAAATTCGTTATCTTTCTAGGTAATATTTTCAGCTTTCAATTCAAACAGTTTAGTTTTTTTTAAATATTGTCCACAATGACAATAAAATCATTACAATAAAACTTTTTTAATTCAGGAAACTTGTCATTACCAAAATGATCAGAATTACAAATCTCGCTCGTAACTTCAAAAGTTACAAATAGGTGATGACTACATGAATATCCCAAAGTTTGAAATGTTTCCCATTTAAATTTCACACTCATTGTTACTATCAATCTCAGTCTGTATGTGATACACTGAAGGAGAGAGTAGATATTAGTTTAGACCTCAAAGTAGGGAAAAAATATGATCTTTCATTGTTTATCAGTGACAGCAAACCTTTTTTCCTCTAGTCCATGCCAAAAGCAGGTATTATCGATGTAAGTCCCTATATTTTGCCTGACATTTTAGTGTACTTTAGTTAGTACAGTGTTAACTTGGATTATAACGTAAATGTGTAGGATTTTTATTTATTTACTTATTATTTATGTCAGAAAATAATCTGATAAAATTAAATCCTTCATCGATAACTAATATGGTAGAATCATACTTACGAAATAGTCTAATGTAAACATAAGAATTCAATGAATATTCCGACAAACAATCTTGTTTTGGAATAAATGAATCCAATCATTTGAGATCTGTAGCAATCATAGAAAAAGGCTTCATTTAAAAGAAAATTTGAGAAATTTTATTCCTAAGATTCGGTTGTAAATTCATAAACATTACACTTGAATATCTCATTCATAACTTTATTTCTATTGTTGATCATTTCTATTTATTTCAGTACAATTGGTGTATGTATATATTGTGAGTCTTTCTTCGATTATGTGTTACTTAAACAAGATAACAGTTTTCTTCAAGGATAATCGTATCAGAACGAAGATCCCGACTCATGATAGTGTAGGGCTACTACTTACAAATATGCTCTCACTTTCTATTGATCATCCATAAGATTAAACTTATGAGCATGTAAAATTCAATTAATTTACTGTATAACACATTTGTTTTCAAATGTTATCCAGGTGACATTGCTTACATTAGAATTGATTGTTTACTTATACTTCGGTTTCAGAAAAACTTAGTGTTAGTGGCATACGATCTCTGAGTCACAACGTATTGATGAAGTATTTAATTGGTGATAGAGGAATAGAACTGGTCAATGCTACGTAACGTAAGTTTGAGTTTTGTTGACTATGGGTATTCCACATGTTGTCAAGTTATTTAAATACAATTAGAATTCATTTGAACTAAAATTCGGGCTCTCTCGAATCTCCAATATAGCTGAATGGCTTAGTGGTGTAAATGAACACCTATTTTCCAATCAATGAAACTATCATTAATGAGTCATCTTCACGGTTTTCATGATGACTCACCAGTCTAGACAACAAGAGGATAAAAAACCCACTATGGAGATGTAATACCCAACATTAAATTTCACTACTTCAACCATGATGCTTACATGATCACATTTAAAAGCTATTTAGCCAGGTACAAAAGTGTAATAGCTGATCAATCATTCATTTGCACAAAACCAAATGGCAGGATTGTGGAAATTAATCTAATTCGCAAATTCTCCACATTGTGGACTGGCGTTAGCTAGACGACTATTGAAAACTAGAAAACCTAAACAATTGTTTCACCTAAGTATGGAACTATCCCAAAGTGTGTTCCAACTAACTCATTAAAGATTGATCTAAGGATTTTTAGGGCTTGTGACAACCGCATTACCATCAAACCAATAGGATGATATAGTTGGAAATTTCAATTTCATTCAATTCATAAGTAATTGAGTAAAACCCTATATTAGTAAATGTTTATATATGATGTTTAACGACCTTCATTTATTGAATATCACAATAGTAACAAATCATTTTCCTTTCTTTTATCTCCCCTAAATTAAACAAGATCTCAACAACAACAAAATCCACTCAAACATCTATATTAAAATGTCAAGTGATATATTTATTTTCACCCTTCATATCATTACTACTTATTTCATGAGTCAGTCAGTCAGCTACAACGTAGGACCAGGCACATATATGCATCGGTCCAAGTTGCCATATCTCATTAACACAAGATGGACACCGGATTGATAAAAGTGATTAATTCAGAGGTGGTAATATATAAAAGAAAGATTGCAATAAGGATATAGTACAGGAAGAAAGAATTAGTTCATAGAAAGAAAGATATGAAGCGATTTTAATCTCTTAGTTTAAGGGAAGACAGACAGTGTATACACCGACGCCACTGTGATCGATTCTGAGCCATGTCACCAAGTCTCTAACCATTGGTTACGATAATCACGCGGACCCCAACCAAGTAGTCTGCATCTACCAGCATGGCTCAGACTACAAGTCAGTGACTTCAAGCACTGATGCCACGTTTTGGGTTGGTCGCCCCTAACTTTCTTCCAACCATCCCGAACACCAGTTAGCATTGCACGTCGTGGTAATCGGTGTTCAGGCATACGTAAAACGTGGCCCAACCATCTCAGTTGATGAAGATTGACAACCTCATCAATTGATTTACCATCATTCTCTAATACCCTGTGTCTAACCTCACTATTACTTAGCCGGTGATGTCAACAGAACAACAATTAAGTATATTAAATTACACTAAGGTGCTAAAATGAAACTAGAAAACAAATGCCAAAGAAAGAAAACAACAAATTATTTTAAAATATATAATCTAATTAATGTGTAAAAAAACATTCTTCAAGTTTGGATAGATTTCATTTTAACCCTTTCAAATAAAATGAAGTGCATTATATTTATGCTGCATTTTATGTATTAAAGTTCATTTAGATTTTTGTAAATAGAAAGAAGAAAAAAATCAACAAAAAAAAGAGTAATACTTTGTGTTTATCGATTTTGATTAATAAAACAGTACAGATCTAATTAATTTAGTTATTTTAAGTGTATCGTCAATTTCAATTAGTGCATTCAATATATTACATACTTAATTACGCCTGATACTCCCAACAAAGCATAGGCTGCTGACCAGCATTCAATGCATAAATGATGCATTCAATGATCAAACGAATGATTTATATGTTGTTTATATAAGCAATTATTAATACCAGTATATAGATGATGTCTGATGGTGCGTGCATTTTCATTTCAGTTCAGTCTATTTTAATTTCATTTTATATTGAGTATATTTATCTGACCTGTTGAAAGATTGGCTAGTTAGTGATTGTTAGGTCTTGATAAACATAATGAATGGTAACTTCGGGATCCATTTGTGGACCAATACTATACGTATATTTTTATCGTATAATTGTTAATCAACTAAACTATTCATATTCATGTCTCTCTTATCATAAGCTTTATTTTGACCTATGAACCACTCTATTATACGTTTTACCATTCTTGAATTATGCCCTATCTATTAGTCACTGCCTCCCACATTCACAGCCACATTTGGCCAAATCTTGTACAAATGTTTTCTATTTTATAGTACGTTGTGGTCTGTTTGATTGGTATTTAAATTCAGTGTTTGAAATATAATGGTTCATATCGCAGAGGTTCGGATCGGTGTTCGGGACTTAACTGGCTGGGCTAGGACCAATCAGGACTCTAGGCTGCCCACATGGATTTTACGCGTCATTGGTCCGATCGATAATTCACTGCTCCGTAATTGGCGGTATCATTGATTATCCATTAACAGGGCTCTCTCGGCCACAAGTTATAACAGTGATAACCGATAGATAGCCGATCAATCTGATAATCAATGTGAAGTGTGTTTGTAATTTTGTAGATTGAGAGATTTGAGTAAATGTTCATATTCAGCTTATTAGTTTAAGATATTAATATCAAATTGGCTTTGTTGTCAGAAATAGTTTTAGCCATAATTGTCTTTATTTGTTTGTCAAGACGAAATCGATATCCTGTATACAACCTTCATCCCTGAGAATAGTCACATTATTAATACTCATTACAGTTCAAGAATTATTGATAAGATGATATTTAAGTTACATTAATCATTTTCATGATTGCTTGATATCAACTAAAGAGATAGTTAAGACTAGTTTATTTTCATTCAATATATAGATTATTGGTTAGTACTGGGTTCTAGAATGCACATTTCGTGTTAATTAAGATTTGCCACCTCGATGTATTATACAGGTGAATGGCTACCTGAACTCAGTAGCTCAGTGAATAAGGTGTATAGTGTTTGGAGATAAAAGTACTAGGTCCGAGTCACGGTGTGCACATCAAAATTAGGATACAGGTACATATAGTATCTTTTTAGTTATTTTTAAAAAAACGTCCTGATATTATAGATCTTGGAATGATTTATGCAAATTTTTAGGTTCTATACTAATTATATTTAACATATTCTCAGCATTTAATTCAAATATTCTCTTACCACTATGATTTTATTAGTATAAATACAAGTTCGAATTGAAAAATAACAATTAGAACTTAAAAATTATGATAAATACTATCCGACTGTCTCGAAACATTTTATTTAAAAATGAAAATAAAACAAATTTCATAAATTTTATCTTACCTTTCCATCATCACCTAATTCATAGGCATCTTTGAGAAAATCCATCATACCACATGGGACACTCGTTTGTGAAATTAAACTTCCTGGAGTATTAGTCACATTAATTTTACTGCCTGGTAATCCTGATGTATTAGATGATGAACTAGAATGGCTTGAAGTTGTTGTTGTCTCACCATCTACTGTACGTGTATGTTGTGTAGATTCTACGACATTACTTTTTGTCACCATATTTTTTGGATCACTACCGCTACTATGCGATGTGGATGATGTTATACGTGAACTTGATGTTTGCATAGTTGAACTATTAGGACCGGAAAAATGTGATGGACCAAAACTGGACATAGTTCCCATTTTTTGTCGTAATGATTCCATTCGACGTTCCATTTGTTCCATCATGGTTGATGGATCATCAAGTGAATGAATCGGTTCAAAATTACCCCAATGGTCAAGATCAAAATCATCAACAGGCTAGAAAACAAAAGATCAAAGATAAGTCTATGAGACATATAAAATATATGATAAAATACAATGTTTAGCACCAAGAGTTCGTTTTCAAATCATGGTTTGTTGGCTACTCTTTGACTAACAAATATTTCGGAATCATGATTGATACTCATTAAAATCTTCACATTCGAATTTATATTGAATATAAGGTTCATCGTAATTCTTTATGCGAATTTTAAATATGCTCTATTCATCGAAAAATCTACTCGTTTTACTAGGATCTGATCTCTTGTTAATCATAGAAGAATTTGATATTGCTAATAACAGTGAACTATTCAAATAAACAGTTTGTGTGTAAACTAACTTGAGTACAATCAATGATTTTCTGAACCTTTTATCGATATTGATAATATCCTAAACATGGTTAAGTATTTTCAGCGAAACCTGGAGACCTTGAGTTGGATTCCTGATAGGTTCATGGGTATGCAGTGGTGAGGAGTTTCATACTGGGATGAAACAACTGTTCGATTTTCCATGATTTTCAACATACATCCTTTGAAATCAATTTACGGTGGATATCGCGTCTACATAAATTTCCATAAATTACAAATTTTACTATAGTAGTCAAGAGAAATTTAGATAATCTTGGAATCATAGTTAGTCTTGAAACATTGAACAGCTGAGAGACGTAACTGTTTCCCCATTCGACCCAGTATAAGGATACAAGATTAATTCTAATAATAACTACTGAAATTAGATTTAAAACTAACTTACAATATCAATAGTACTAACCATTTTCTATTAAAGCAAATGAATAATGAATATAATCTTGTCTATTTCATATAATCAAATAATTGAATACTATGGTAATCAAATAATCTGTAGTTTAATCAACCAATCGAAATATATTCTCATCATAATTCCAAACACCTTTACACAAAACCTCAATAATAAAAAGTACAACGGTATTTGGTAAATTAATACTTAAGTAACCAGAATAGATTTAAACTGAATAAGTGGTATATATACATATGCATAGTCAGGTTAAATTGTCTTAAGTGTAACAGTTAAACTAGGGAAACACAATCTATGCAATATCATGGATATTAATAGAAATTTCAGAAATTAAGTAGTAACTCTCCTGTGAATTGATTTCATTGTATATATATATGGTCAATGGAAATATTAGAAAATAAGTTACATCTTTTAAGAGACCTATGCAGAATGAATGGAAGAATACATAAATTCACGGAACATTAGATAGTTGTCTTATTGTAATTGAGGACATTAGTGGTACATATAATAAATCATAATTTTTATACATAATTGATTAAATAAATGTTGAAAAAGATGACAGTTTTCAAATATTAAAAATCGGTGAATGAATGAACCCATGTAGTCACTTTAACTGACTGAAATGTTTCCCTGAAACTTCCTAGGTTTTCATTTATTCGTTAAGTGAATTATATAAAAAAAACAAATTTCAGATAAATCAAATCTAATAATTGAATTGATGAGACAATTGAAGCCAGACCACCATGGAAAACCTGGAAGTGTAGTGAACAGGAGACGGGTGGGGACACTTGGATGTATTTAACATAAAATTACAGGACTTGTAAATAAAATCTAACAACCATAAAGTAAATGCTTAATTTGCAAAATGTCCACCAATTGTCTCAAAATGACTCAGACTTCATTGTCCTTGGAATTTCATACAAAGTGCATCCTGTTTCTATTCGTTACTGTTCGATCCTGCTGCAAGACTTTCTGTTCACAACTAACACCATGTGCTACTTAGGTCAATATGAGTAGCACACACCACAGAAGCGCTGGATGGCAGTTTCATCCTAGTATGGGAGTATAGAAGTTCCATACTAAGATAAAACTGCCGTCCAGTGCTTCCAGGTTTTCCATGGTGGTTTAGCTTCAATTGACTCATGAATTCAATCATTAAATTACTACGAATCTTCACAAAACCCCTCTCTGATTATAAATCACATCATCTCAATGAAGCATTAGAGTCAAAATTATATCAAAAAATAACGTATGAACACAATTATTTGAGTCCTAGTAATTTGATAACATGAGATAATTATGAAGAACATTTTATTCAAGCATTATATAACCTACAGTGAAATCAATTTACTGAATATTGATTGATAATATAGTCTTATAGGTAGTAACAATAAATTTATGCCTAATCACATGTTAGTCTCAGTTCTGTCAGTCAGCAATCAGATAACACGAAACCTCACAAAGAATATTCATATAAACTAGAAATAGAGAACTGATGATTGCTAAATGTTTAATTTCTCTCAAGTCATTATATTGTAATACCAGGTTTAGTTATTTCCATTTAGATTTCATTAGCCAGCCAAATAAATATCTGCGATACTGGTAACCAAAGTTGGATTTTTATGTAATAATTCACCCAAGCATAACTTTCTTCTCATGTTGATGAATAATTGTTTAAGGGATTCTACAGTTCGTAGTTCTAGTAGAAGTTAATAAATATATAGTTTGACGTCAATTTCATTTGAAACAAGTAACTCAGTTTCAAATGATTACCATACTACTAAACATCATACTTGTATACTTTAAACTTGTCCTTAAGATTTTTTCTATTTATTTTGTGTAACATTCAGTTCAGGTAGGGTACTTTCAATTGCAAATGAGAATTCTTATTAAGTGATGAACATTAGAGTTTATTTGCATTAATACAAAACCTTAATCATTCGTTATCTTTCTCTAAATACGTCAAGTTTTATTCAATACTTTTCATTCTTTCTTTTTTTCGTGTTTGATTTTAATACCATACTCTTTATAATTGTTTCCACTATTCTTAATATTATAATTATGTCGATCTATCTTGTTTAGTTCATAAACAAAAGAAACCTGGCATATATGTGTACAGGTTCAAGTTGCATAGGGATAGTGAAATAAAATCATTAAGACAAATGAAAACATTGGGTGTAGGCGATATTATTCCCGAACAAAAAAAGAATTTGAGAACTAAAAAGAATAAGGTATATTTAGACCTGGAGATCTAAAGAAAGTCAAGTGGTGAATGCCTTTGCGCCATTGGGACCTGTTCTCAATCATGTTACCTGACATCTCCAACCATTGGTTATGGTAATCGAATGAACCTCAACCAGGTAATATTCACCTACCAACATGGCTCAGAATAATGGTCACTTATATTATAGACTAATACCATGTTTTTGTGTGACCACTCCTTTCTGTCTTCTATACTAACAAAAGTTACAAGTCGAGGTGGTAGGTGGTGGTTGGGCATACGTAACACATGTCTTAATCAGCTCAATCCATCAATATTTTTGGCTTCATCAACTGTTATTATAACAGAACCAGAGTTTTTCTTATTTTAAATATGAAGTAAAATTAAGATAAATTCTTCATTCAATTGAAAATAATTTGTGGTGAAAAGGAAGGATACTAAATGTCATCAAATATTAGATCAAACTTCTATTGATTCAATCACAATCCTATATATAACTTTATTTTTTTGCTAATCTACTTTGATCACTTTTTCACAGCTGCTGCAGTAGCACCAAATGTGTTAAAGACACCCACATTAACTAGTGTCAATACAACATGAACTTTTAGTCAGTCTGAATTAGTAGGTAATTTGATATATTACATTTGCACTTATAACCTACCAGCTAGCGATTGAAAGTTAAGCGATATATAGATATAAAAATATCTAACAAATCAATATTAAGAAAGTGTATATGCTTGTATATTGAGTGCTATTGATAAAGTTTTGGTCACTATTATCATAAAGTATTTCGTAACAAAGATAAAATAGCTTTGTTTAAAATGTATCAATAAAGGAGAGACGTTTTATCGCTTTGAATGAAAAAATCTATTCTTTTCCGACAGTGTAACTTATTTCATATGACGTCATTGTATAAAACAGATGGAGAAAGGGAAATAAAATAACAAAATCATGAATAATCATGCACTACTGTGTTTAGGAATATTTGAGGATATCTGTTGAGTGTTTTGAGCATAATAACTGATATAATATGAGTATATGATGATCCTATTGAATTTAAAACATTCAAAATAAGTATCTTGAGTTGTAAATCTTTTAACCTAAACTTATTTATACGACTAGTTATTAATTACTTAGTTGAGTTAATGATCAACAGGTTTTTGAGCTATTCAGCGTGTTTATTTATGGAAGCCAGTCATTAATGCAAATAAACTCTAATGTTCATCACTTAATAAGAATTCTCATTTGCAATTGAAAGTACCCTACTTGAACTGAATGTTACACAAAATAAATAGAAAAAATCTTAAGGACAAGTTTAAAGTATACAAGTATGATGTTTAGTAGTATGGTAATCATTTGGAACTGAATTACTTGTTTCAAGTGAAATTGACGTCAAATTATATATTTATTAACTTCTACTAGAACTACGAACTGTAGAATCCCTTAAACAATTATTCATCAACATGAGAAGAAAGTTATGCTTGTGTGAATTATTAGATAAAAATCCAACTTTGGTTACCAGTATCGCAGATATTTATTTGGCTGGTTAATGAAATCTAAATAGAAATATCTAAACGTAGTATTACAATATAATGACTTGAGAGAAATTAAACATTTAGCAATCATCAGTTCTCTATTTACAAATGCTTATGTTACTTAGTTGACGGATACACATTTAGTTAACTGTATCTGTTAAACTTTTCACGAAGCATTCGTTTGTCCTTCTGGACATCATAGTCAGTACCCACTTCACATACGGGAGAAAGCTGTTTAGTTATTCTACAGAGGACAAATTACTCTGTTCTAATGACCTTGCCTGTAGATGTTGGTTTTTACAAATTTCGTCAACTTCATTTTTCATTGTATTCCCGTCATCTTGACTGGTAGGTCACATGTCACGTGACTTGATCTTTTCTGCATAGAGTAGTAAATAAGGTCTATGTCGATATGTTGTGCACTGGCCTGAACAACAGGCCTCTCGAAAATATTTCTTTTGAAATCCATCCAAAAGTGTTTACACGAAATAGGAAATATTTTGAAAATAAAAACTTTCCCTGTGCGTGAACCTTTAAATATCACTTTTCAAGTTTATTTGAAGCAGGTTACATTGACTATATAAAGCGAGATCTTTCGAAACACTTATGCAAGCATCGCTCTATCTGACTATCAAAAGAATTATGTAAATCGGTCCATTATTCAATCCCGAAACATCCTGTCAATTCTGGTTACATTGCACCATTACAGTCTTCTTCAAAAGTCACCCATACAGTCAGACGAATTGATATAAAGGGAATACATATTGGAGAATCATGTACAGCATAACTTTTATCAAACTACCGATTCAAGACTAATCTTTGTGTACAAAAGCAACATGTTTTACTTCTCATTTTAAAGTGGTCTTAATTCTTTATATTTCCCATTCTTAGAAAATCTATCGTTATCACTTCTTTCTATTTATCACAGTACTTAATCATTCTATCCCCCATATTCATCAGATGGATGACAATCATCTATAAACTATCATTAACATTTCTTTGTTAGCTGCTAAATAATTACATAACCTCACTTCGACTTTTCATATTGGCGAACATTAATATAAAACCTCTCTGATTTCCATACCCTTGGTAAAATAACTTATTAGAGACTATCGTTATTTAAAATTTTCGATTATTATCGATGATTTTGTGAAATGAAACAACACCTCTTAGTGAGACTATAATTTATGGATGACCTTTGAGCGACGCTAAAGTGACCTTGAGAGGGTTCACCTGGTTACTAGGACCAAATGAGGGTGATAAACCAGTGTGGGGAATTAAAATTATAATTCCCATTTGATGGTTAGGGTTAGGAATCAGATTTAGGATTTTCATCACGAACTAACATCGACTATAATGCCAGAACTCTATTTAGCCAAATGGACGGGTGAATTTCGCGCCAAAACCCGAGACCTGTTACCTTATACGTGATTGGTTCGTCCATAAATTATAGTCTCTGCCACCTCTCTATTCTATTTTTAACTAAGATTTGTAAAAAGTACACATAAATGCGACTTTAAAGTCTGAGTACATAATTTTTAGTCAGTGAATCATCCTCATGTCTTTTTTATTAAAGACAAGAAATATCTGTATGACCGACTTGAACTATGGTATCTAGAAACCCCTAACAAAACAGTTAAAACACCAGAATGAATTCCCGCCATAAAGTACATTCAACGACAGATTTTATCACTTACTCAAGATGAATAAACTAATTGATAAACAATGATGAGTAATTTTGAGGCTACATAATCTAGAATTCTATGTCAAACCATGAAGAATGTGGGGCTGTGTTATGCTCCTAACAATAGGGATATGTAATATAGGTTCAGAATGAAATTTGTTTCCTCTTTTCTCTGGTGTAATATATGTTAAAAGAACATCCACTAATACCAATTTTTATAAAGGATGCCCTTTATTGTTATGAATGCTTATAAATTCCATTTACTTGAAATGAAACACTGAAGGTCGAATATAATATATTAAATAGTGATAGACACCTTTTTATGGTTTCTTAACTCTTGTGTTCATTATCAAATTCAAATGGTCCGACCCAAGGTGAACATATTAGATATGGTTAGTGCTATTTTACATTAAAATATATGACTAATAATACTAATTATAGTAATTATCTCTCAATGTATAGAAATATAATGAATACAAAAAATTTTGGCAGACATTACCTGTGAGATAGTCTAAAAATCCACTAGTAAATAACATTATTTCAATGATGTTCTATGTCCAGTAAGCAAGCCTAAACTATTTTCTTGTTCACCCTTGATTGCATAGACGCTAACTTATCAAGTAATTGTTTTTCAGTGCTATTTATCTTGGTACTAACTAGTTGCAGAAATTACAGGGCCAAGGAATTCACACAATATACCAAACAATGGGAAGTATCAGTTCACTCGTAAGAGAAGTTATACCTTGTTCAACTAGCACGAAACCATGATCAAAGAATTATTATCATTCAAATGTGTCATGTAGACTAATGGCTAGAATACAACCTGGTCTGTAGAATTCGACGTTCACTAAAAACGACCTGGCACCCATGAGATTGGTAACTGTCCAGTGACAAAACAATTGTAAATACATCTATATCGTACAGGAGGTCAGTCATGGCCCAAATAGCTCAGTGACAACGTCTTTGACTGTGAAGATGAGTGACACGGGGTCGTACCCCTCACGGACCATCAGTTCCCTCATGAATACCAGCACGCCCTGCTGACGAGTGCCGAATACAACGAAACCTAGGTCCAGGGTCTCCTATCAACCACTTCCAACTACCATCTCCCAGTCTAATCTCCCCGTGATGGTCCTTAAAGATAAACAACTTATATATTTTAATCAACGTAAATTTGGCTCATTTTTGTTTAGGAGTTTTTTGACCAAGTAAGAAATAACATATAAATTCTTACCTCTAAAGCGAACATGGACTGTCTCATTCGCTTCATGTCTTCGCCCCACTTGCTACGTGTTTCACTAATCCAGCGATTGACTTCATCATCCCAATCACTAATATGACGATTTGATCCACTTATAGTTGATTCACTTAAGGGTATTGAAGACTCTGAACTTGAATTCCTGTGGATGTCGGTTCTTGAATGCTTACTGTAACTACGTTCAAGATTACTAAGCATATCCTTTCGGCGCTGTTCGAATGTTCGCTTATCTCTTGATATCGGTATGTTTATTTCCGTTCTGTAGTTGTCCATAATTACGTTGGATGTAAGTCAAGTACCACAAAACGCTGTAACAACACGACTCAGTAACCACTGCTATGCGTGGAAAAACTAATCTTCGCAACCTAACAAGCAAATGCTTGAAAATATATCTGCAAAACCTACCAATAGTTTTCAAGATTCATATAATTTGTCAATTAAATTTTGATTGGTTAATTTTTATTCACGTTTTAAAGCATGTAATAATAAGTTAACCAGATTGCCACCTCATCCTACCTGTTATTGTTTCTGGGTTGAGTCATTTCATAATTGTATATTGGATCTATTGATTTAGCACTGGCATTTGTAATGAATTAAGATTGGAAGTCAAGACTAGGGTGTTATGCTCCCTACATACTTTATTGATAGATTATGATTGCCACGATTACATACATACACAAATAAATTCAATTATGGAGAATAATATTCTGCTTATGCTTCTAGACTTGTGCGTATATAATATACAGTTACGCTAGGCAAATGGTCAAGTAAATTTAACGTGTGCATAGCTTATGTATTTTGAACACATATAGAAGAACTGATTATCTATCAGGTGTACACTTTCAGTCTTTACCTTGTAGGTTTGGTTGTATATAAATACACACGAGATTTTATTTACATACACAATGATAAACTGCTTACAAAATAGGAAGTCTGACTGTTATTTCAATTATACAAATGAATAAGTTTTATTTGACGCAGGTAGAATCAAGGTTAGATTTATAAAGATTTTACTGTAAGAGTGGAAGGTAACAAAAAAAGCATGTCTGATACATGTATATACAAGTATTTATACACTATCATCAGAATGTTTTTTTGGTTCCATAGCCTAGACATACATGAAATAAATATCGATTGTAGAATACCTTATTTAGTTGAATAGTGCTATAAAAATGGTGTTGGACACTTTCTGTAGGTTCGAACTTTTTATAAAGTAAAGTTTTAATCAATACGTTTCTGTTGTATACGTCTGGGGATATCCAAACTATCAAACATGAAGATCTAATAATTAAAAAGATGATATGGTTAATCTATATTTATTCAAAATACATTCAAAGCATTAACGTCGCAAGTTTTACAAAAGGTTTAGGGCTTCCTACAAGAGAACCAGCCAAGTTCAAGGGACTCATTATGAACCAGAGATTACAACAAGGGGTATATAAATGGACAAAACAAAGAAATAAATAGAAATTTAATGACTACAGCGAGTGCTTTATACCGCTAAAAACATAAAGGATTATATGGTCCTAACTAAACTGCATAGCGCCGAGGTCATTCATATGGATTGGAAGACAACAGATCATAAGAGCGATTAAATATGACGAAAAATAGAACTAGATTAACAACAATGACTCATGGAAAAAAGAGATCTACTAACTACAAACTAAAAGGCGGGAAAACAAAATAAAATAAAGAGTAGGACTTAAAGACTATGACACATGAACACAAACGCAGGTAAACGAATAACGGTGTAGATTATATCCAATGCTTTCCTGACTGTTATATGTATAGACTTTGAACTCGAAAAGATTTCAATAAACCACTAACCTAACTATTGCGTGCCCCGTTTTTCAGTGAAGAATAATGAAAATCTGAATGTATATTTTAAACTTCATTTCTCCAGCTGTTTAAAAAAAAAATAGAACAAACCATTTCCTGTTGCCTATACGCAGTAAATCTTAGGGTCATAAACAAGTTATCCCAAATCACCATTACGATTGTGCCATATGATTAAATGCATTTTTATTGGAAATTCCCATTTGATTTCAGAAATTTCTCAAATAATTTGTTACTTCTTTTTTTCGAACTACTACAGTAAATAACTCAATCAACACAGCTACGCAACCGATTAGTTACACAATTCCCGATGTCAAAAAACCTCTAATCAGAACACCAGAAGGCCAGATAAGCAGTTACAAAAAAACCGTTTAGACCTAAAACTCATATGGTTTTATACGTAAAATATAAAACCACAACGTACCACAAGTATTAAATCTCATTTAGTTTATAACTACGTCATTTTTAACACAAAGCTGAGTAACGTATCTGTAACTATAAAACTACAATTTAAGTGAATTAATCAATCGGAAACGTACAATCATGACCATAAAAACAGACCAAGCTGACCGTTTGTAAATGCTTACTAAAATATACTAATTTGGTTTTCTATGATTAATATTTTCCTTTTCCACTTCTCCGTATCCGGACAACCATTTGCTTTTAAAGAATTATTGATATGATAGTCTATGTATAATCGACGTGCCTTTTGTTAAACTCGTCATGATCTTTGTCGATGTGGCCTGGGTTTACTTCCCAGTATCATTTATTTCCGTATGACTTCCATAACTAAATTACCTAACATATCTAACATCATATCAGAGTTTCCATAGGCCAGCAACGAAAAATTGACAAAAATAATTGAAATAAAACTGGTCATGGGATGCTAATTACGTAATATATATATTAGTTATGGGGTTATAAACAAGAAAATTCAGTGAAAGGGCAATGAAATAATGTATTTTTCGTTTACTGAATATTCATCGCCGTAAGAATGATTAATTTAGATGAAAGATTTATCAGAAGTAAGACAACCATTGGTTTATTTCATCCATGATAAATAGTTTTGGTGAAATTTTAAGCAGGAAAATATACGTATATATATATCACGTCATATAAAAAGTATTTATTAAAAATGTTAATTTTTCGAAAAAATTCTAAATTGATATCACAAATGCTTAACTAGAATAAAACAATCATATAAATGTTCCTCTGACTTTGAATACCTCTTTGATTATCACCATGGAGATATTGGAAATCGTAGAATTTTTATGGTTTTTAGTTACAAATTAGTTTTAGTTACACCACCATTGAACATCAAAAAGCACTGAATAACTGCTTTGTCCTATCATGGTACTGCTTTCTGATGGCAGTCATAGAAACGTATTGATGAGAGATTTACATACCAGGATGAAACAGCTGTACAGTGCTTCGTGGTTTTTAATAGTTGCTTAGTTATTGTTGGACGATTATATAAACTAACTTCGCAATGAAAATTCTTCACGAATTGTCCATATGAGTTATAAAATAGTTTCGGTGACAGAAAAAACGTATATGTATGATAGAAGTCGGTTTCCAGTTGCTTGATAAAAAAGGTATGCATGGTGATATAGTTACTTACTTAAGCCTGTTACTCCTAATGGAGCATAGGCTGCCGATCAGCATTCTCCAACCCACTCTGTCCTGGGCATTCTTTTCTAGTTCCATCCAATTCTTGTTCATTTTTCTCATGTCTATCTCCATTTCCCGGAGTAATGTTTTTTCGGTCTTTCTCTCTCCCTTTGACCCTGAGGATTCCAAGTGGGGGTTTGTCTTGTGACGCAGTTGGGTGCTTACCTCAATATGTATCCCATTCACTTCCAGTGCTTCTTCCTGATTTCTTCCTCCACTGGAATCTGGTCTTTTCTCTGCCACAATACGTTGTTGCTAAAAGTGTCTGGTCAACGAATCCGAAGTATTTTTTGTAGAAAACTTTTAATGAACACGTTTAACTTCTGGATGATGGCATTCGTAGTTATCCAGGTATCCGCCCCATACAGTAGAACTGTCTTGACATTTGTATTGAAGATTCTGAATATGCTGCTGGTTGACAGTTGCTTTGAGTTCTAGATGTTCCTCAGTTGTAAATATGCTGCTCTTGCTTTACCGATCCGCGCCTTCACATATGCATCAGATCCACCACGTTCATCAAAGATGCTTCCCAAATATGTAAAGGTTTTTACATCTTCAATAGCATCTCCGTCAAGTGTGATGAAGTCGATGAAGTTGATGTAGAGTGATGAATCCCATTCAATTGATTGTTCCACAATGATCCGTAGAGTTGCGATTTGGTCTGTACACGATCTATCCTTACGGAATCCTGCCTGTTGGTCACGAAGTTGGGCGTCTACGCAGTCCTTCATCCAGTTTAACAATACCCTGTTGAAGACTTTTCCTGGTATTGAGAGAAGAGTGATGCTTCATTAGTTCTCACAGTTGCTGAGATCGCCTTTCTTTGGCATTTTGATCAGAAGTCCTTCTTTCCAGTCTTTTGGTACTTTTTCCTCATCCCAAATCTTATTGAAGAGAATGTGGAGTATCCTTGCATTTACTGCTACGTCTGCTTTTAGTGCCTCTGCTGGAATGTTGTCTGGTCCTGTTGCTTTGCCACTCTTGATTTGTCTGATGGCCATGCTGATCTTTTCAATTGTTGGTGGGCCAACATCGATTGGGAGGTCCGTGGGTTCTGCTTCGATATTGGGTGAATTCAGTGGAGCTGGACGATCCAAGAGCTCTTTGAAGTATTCTACCCACCTGTTTCGTTGTTCTTCAATGTTGGTGATTACCTTGCCTTCCTTACTTTTCACTGGTCGTTCTGGTTTACGGTGATTTCCAGAGAGTTTCTTTGTTATGTCATACAGTTCTCTCATGTTTCCTTCTCTTGCAGCCTTTTCCGCCGTCATTGTTAAATCTTCCACATATTTACGTTTGTCAGTTCTGATGCTCCTCTTCATTCGCTTGTTTACATCTGTGTATTCAGCTTGTGCCTTGGTTTTTTCTGCTCTTGTTCGACTGGTATAGATTGCTGACTTCTTGATCCCCCTTTCTTGAACCTTATCTAGTGTATCATCAGTGATCCATTCCTTGTGATGGTGCTTCTTGTGACCCAGGACCTCATGACATGTTGAAGTGATTGCCTCTTTTATCCCCTTCCAGCTGCTCTCCATTGAGTAGATCATGGAAGGCCTGGAACTTATTGCTGAGAGCTATCTTGAATTTGTTGAGTTTGTCAGTATCCTGAAGAAAGGCCGTATTAAACTTTTTTGATATTGTCCGCGCCGTTGTCCAGTGCTTCTTGAGTTTCAATTTCATCTTGGCGACCAGCAAGTGATGATCTGATGTTATATCAGCTCCTCTCTTGGTTCTCACGTCTTCCATCGTCCTCCTGAAATTTTTGTTGATGCAGATATGGTCGATTTGGTTTTGCGTAGTGTGATCTGGTGAAGTCTATGTGGTTTTGTGAATGTGTTTATGTGGGAATATAGTGCCGCCTATGACCAGTTTATTGAAGGCACATAGGTCGGCAAATCTCTCACCATTTTAGTTCCTTTCTCTCAGTCCGTGTCGTCCCATGATGTCTTCATATTCAGGGTTGTCCATTCCAACCTTGATATTTAAATCTCCCATCAGAATGGTCAGGCCCTTTGCTGGAAACTTCTCGACGACTGACTGCAGCCTGTCGTAGAATTGATCTTTAGCGTCTTCATTGTAATCGTTGGTAGGCGCATAGCATTGGATGATTTTCATTGAAATGCCCTCTTTCTTTGTTTTGAATGAGGCTTTGATGATCCTTGTTCCATGAGATTCTCACTCTGTAAGTGCATTTTGTGCTTGTTTGGACAGCAACCATGTAACTCATTGTGTAAGTGGAGCATTT